ATTTACCGTGTCGGAAGAGGATTTGTAAAATATTGCTCCTCAAATGCAGTGGAAGACGAAAATAATAATCTCTAATAATTATTGTTCACTTTAACATGATATCAGAAACCAATAATTTACATGTACGTGTCCAAAATGTTCTCTCACATTCCCAGAAATTCCCACTATTCCCTACTACAATGTATTAACACTGGTCATCTCAATTTAGGAAAAGTCACTGGCCATTTGGAATGTCAAGTAAAAAGTAACATTTTGCATTCAAGTTTCACATCACTGCGCAGGTCTTGATGTAAGGAGTATAGTGATATGAAAATTATTGTTCTGCAGTATTCATAACTTTAGATATCGTTTATAGAAAATGCAAGCAGACCGACGGGTTTTTCAGCACCCCGACGGGGCTAGCAGCTACCCCGTCAGGACCAAATCACAGGACCGTCGGTGTAAAGTACTCACCCCGTCGGTGTAAGGTACTCACCCCATCGGGGTGACACTGTCATAATCACTAAACCCGACGGGGTAATGTCACCCCGACGGGGTGGGAGTTCTGGTCAAAGAGGTGCAAAATCCCAAAACAAAGCCAGGAAAGGTGTGAATTGATCAGTCTATACACACCGACGGGGCAAGTTTACCCCGATCGGGGTGAGCTACTGATCCCGTTGGGGTGAGCTCAGACAGTCATCCAATCCAATTGATGTGCAAAAGCGACATTATCAGGACAAAGAATAAGCATGGAGAGCACAATCCACACTCTTCTATCTGCCCTTTCAGCCAACTATAAAGGGTACAACAAAAAAAGAAAGATTCCAGAGAGCTTACAAACACATACTCACTACTCCAAAGCTAATGTCTAATAGAATTTTACCGACATGATCAATATTGACTGAAGGAGGCCATAAAAAATAATACTTAAATTTATTTCCTTCAGTCTATTTGTAAGAATTGAGATGTAGAACACACAGGTCTTGCAAATAAATTGATCAAGTTCCTCAATTGCTATTACACTGGCCACAATAGAGTCAATTCCGCGTCACCGAGTGGGTTGTTATTGTCATTATTTAGAAATGTTTTGAATTCTTTGTAATTGTTTGTCTAAGAAATTTCATAATTTGGAAATATTTTGAACATCTTGTCAATATTCTAAATAATTCCCTGGTTTTCTAAAACGTTTGAAATATTCCTGATGTGGATTATGACATTTCCAATAGTTTCTAAATATTTCTAACAGCACTCTACCATTTTTTACCATTATTTCGAATTATTTCTAACATTTTGTAAATAGGTCAGTGGGATGGGAAGGAAGTAATTCACACATCCCTGTGAAGTACAGGGTAGACTGCCTGGGTGTCAGGCATTGATGCCTTACAACAAAAGAGCCACCAGTGTCCAGCAGTGAAATCTAAAAATATACAGAAGAAGACAGAAGAGTCGGATTAGCACCTACTTTTATGGGGGCAATTACCCACATCTACCATTTGGTTATTTGTTTGAAATAGTTCTAAATATTTCGAATTGTGAAAGAAACACATGGGTAGTTCAAATTTATTCTAAATAAAGAGATCTTTGTACAGTCACTTTCAAAATGTTTCAGAAATATATAAATGAATTCAAATATATTCATATTTTCATTTTCAAATTTTTGAAAAATTTAGAACTTTTGTTACTGGGGTATTCTTTTCTTCTAAATAATTCAAACGTATTAGAAACATGGAGAAAAAACCCACTCGGTGACGCGGAATGGACTCTATTCGGGGATCGAAATTAATGGCTTAGCAGCTGAAAACAGTCAGTCGTTCTTGTGAATATTGCCCACAAATTTTCATATGGTTATAATCGTGTCATATAATGAGCAAAATGCCTTAGCTGGTCAAGAATGGGAGCAATCTCTGATAATTGTCACAAAAAAGGGAGGTTCTCTCTTTTACCTCCTTTGTCTGAGTGGAAGGAGGCCCTTTGTTATAATGTCTGTCATTCAAAATACACACTGCAAGCAGTGCAAATCAGGACTCACTATTCTTCTCAGATATTTGGAGGCATCATGATAAGAAATATGTTGAGAAACTAGGAAGTTGGAACATACATTAATTTTGAACCTTGGTACCACCAGGTGCAGAGTATTTTTGTGAGGATGTCATGAAATCTTTAAACCAAGGAGCTTTAAAAAGCTTGGTGTGACCATTTTCTACCTCCATGGTGTGACTTGCTGAGAAACTTGACATCGTGTGTATTTTGTCCCATTGTTCTGTCTGAGACAAGTTAATTGGCTGCATTGTTTACTTATTGAGACTTTTTACAGCGAAAGGAGCTTTCATCAATTTTAATGAAAGCTCTTTGCAGCCACTTATAATAAGAGGTAGACACACAAGCGGCCATTGGTGCCCTACAAAATAGTCTACTGAGTACATCCTACATTCATATTTCAATTGGCTGGAGAAATACTTGAATGATGTGTTTTTGTCTACTGTATAACTACTACGGTCAAAATGTACTTCTGTAAATGGGGAGAAACGACACTTTGGGTGGGTGGGGACATTTTGTAGCATGGTCTGTTCCATCAAGGTCCTTGGTTCCATTTGCTAGCTGTAAGATCTCCAAGCAGATCCTATACTGTGACAAAGCTGACAGCCTTGTCACAGTAGGATCTGCTTGGAGATTATAGGTCGGTGGGTGTGATGTTTGAAGAAAAAAGTGATTTGCCCTTCTCCGATAACTTTCTTTTCTACAGACCCTGGAGTATTTTCTACATTACAACCACAGCAATGATATACAAATGTACTAGTATTTCTATGCAAGAAGGTATAAAATGAAATTTAATAGGGAGGACACCATTACTGTCCTTTCAAAGAGTTTGCCTCAGGTGTGCATTTCCAACTTCACGTTGACGTGCCAATTACCCCCAATTTACATAATGTGCACTGGCTTGGGTTGGCTTGAGACCTTTGTTTTTGTTCAGAGAACTGTGGTGACTGGAAATGAAGCACTAGCTCCAAGCAGATCCTAAGGTGGCAAAAAGAAATATGAAATTGGCCAGGCAGTATCCATCGGCCAGAGAGGGTCCAATTTTCCTTGGGTTGGAGATAAGAAATAAAGGACAGTATCCTGATCAAGAAGGTTTATTGCAAGTCAGATATCCTGAGCTGTTATTAGATTGTGCCCGGTCAGTTTCAACCTGTCGACTCACCCAGAAAACTACAACTTTGAGTGGGTTGATTTTGCTTTTAGCAAGTTTTCAGGGAAGAAGAGGGAATTTCAGTGGCAAAGCAATCAGAATCCCATAGACTTTTGAGACAGTAGGGACAGAGGGTTCAAAAAGTGGGGGGGGGGGGAATGTTAGCTTATTTAAGTCACTAAATTTGCCCACTACATGCTCAACAGTTGTGCTAGGTAGATAGACCTCTCTGATGTGCCTGGTAAATGCAACTACTTGTACATACCAGGATGCATTATTAACAAGTATCCAATGCATGGAATTTATATACAACTAGTACTGGTTTCCAAACCTCATGCTAATAATTCAGTCATTAAAATCTTAAAAAAGTGGCTAAAATATTCCTTAGAATCTAGCCAACATGGTTAAAGTTTACCTATTCGCTATTGTAAGCACTATTCACATGACATTAATCAAAATGCCAAACAAATGGATAAACCTGGAATTTGTTTATATTCAGTCTTTGTTTTGGTCCGTCCATATTGGGGCAAATTATTCTTGTGTTGGCGGCCGCCATGTTTTTGACTGTGAAGTTGAAATATGATTGAAATATTGGAAAGTTGTTCCAGATTATTTCCAGTTTTGGCAACAAAATACTAGACTAAGTATATATAAATATGAGCCTAAATACTATGAGACTACATTTGTAAGTAGATAAGCAAGAAGCCTAATATTCACAACTTGAGCCTGCTTTCAAAGCAAGGAATTATACAATCCTCTATTTCTGTCCAACAGTACCCATTCGGTAATTATTCTGCTCCAGGTACAATTGTTATGCGGGTTAAAACTAGGTTAGCTATTGTTCTTGACATGCAAATGTCACTGTCCAATTATCAACTTGATACAAATTATCCTATAAGGGAGTGTGTTACATGCCAAATTACTGGTAGTATCTCGGGTCACCCAGGAAAAGCCAGAAAGATAGCCCATGTGAAAACTAAAGAACATTGTAATTGACTATTTGGCCCTTCATCCAGTCAGATTTTCTTCTATCTGGCACCTAACATTGCACTTGGCCATGGGTTCATAGATACATGTAGTAGTATGTGTATTTTTGTTTGCTGCATTGACTGTTAGCACCTATGAAGTATAAAAAATAATAGCAATGGTTACAGATTTTATTATGATGCATACTTCTCAAAGTCTGAGTAAGGCCACACCGATTTAATTTCTTGGTTATCGGATTTTCTAGAAAAATAACGGAGCGGGCGGAAAAAAATAAAAATAAAAACAGGCCTAGGCTTCCTATTATGGCCCAAAATGGTACGATAGGAGCCATGAAGTCAACACACCAGGCTGGTTCAAATTCAAACAATCATTTTGAACTTTTAATGATACCATTGCATTGAAAGATGGAATGACTGTAACAAGTAGTAAGGAAAGGCTGTTTTCAACTGTTCAGGGCAAAATATGAGCATTTTGCAGTTGATTTTGAATTTTTATTTTTATTTGCAAATCAGAAAAAAATGAAGCGGTGAATCCGTTAACCAATAAATTAACTTGGTGTGGCCTAAGTGCAAGCAAAATTTTTACTTCTTTGTCTGGTGCAGGTTAAATGTTTACTGCACCAGTTCAGGTATGCAGTGAAAAATATTTTGAGCCCTGGGGTATTCTGCTAATGATAGATGAGTTTATCCATGGAGTTTGAAAAGTTGTTATCAACGTTTATTAAATTTTAGCCATGTCCAAACTCTATTCTTAGTGTTAGCCAGGTTAGAGGTTATAACCTCCTTGCTAGAATTCATCCTACAGTGAGCTAGGTATTGGTGGACAAAGACTAGATTTTTAACCTCCTTGTTAGGACCTACAGGATTGTACATGTCATGTACATATATGGCACTCATGTGGAGCAGGTTGACTGGTCAATCATATCC